TTTGTTGTGATTAACACAGGTGCTTAAAAAAACAAAAAATGAATGAACGGATTTACATAAATGTAAAAATAATGTATTTCAAACAAGTCAAGAACGTGCACGAATGTTTCAAAAAATCTCGGTAATCTCTCTGCTGACGCGACCAATAGCGGTAAATACGCAGCGTGATCCAACTGTATTCATAATTCTATGTCCTTTCATTTTTGCGAAGAATACGAAATAGCGCCGGAACAAAATTACCGTAGATTCCCACAGCCTGTTTCAATCAGCTACGTACCAAACTCTGCAGTAACTTAAAATGAATTCCCCCTGCGCCCTTACACTTTACTGGTCTATGTTGTGACTTGTGAGGGTTAAAGGAATACAAATTAATCAAATACCTAACGATGTTACTAGTACCTGTTTCAAAGAGCGTTGGGGTAGAATTTGGATGGGAGTACAGGCAGTGGCGGACTAAGGGGGGGGGGGGGGCAGGGCGGTCCGCCCCGAGCCCCGTCACTAGAGTAGGCCCCCGATGCGTTGCAACTGCAAAGAGAGAAAAAAAAAGACCTAGTGGTGAGGTGGCCGGTGGGGAGGCGAGCGGCGGTCGGCGACGGCGTCGGGTCGGTATTCAGCAGAATAAAAGCGCGGAAAAATAAATTTTAAGATTTCATCATTTGTTATGTATCAATAAAACCTTATTCACATTCATAGCATTTTTCTATTCGTTTGTTGTGATTCATGGGTTAGAAAAGTAGGGCAGGTGGGGCCCCACTCTGAAAACCGCCCCAGGTCTCATAGACCCTTAATCCGCCACTGAGTACAGGGTCCGCACACCTCAGAAAATTAAAAATTAAAATTTGCACAACTCTTTTGCAGATAAGGCCAATTTTTTTAACCGAAATAGCTTAGTACATTTTTTGTTTATAAAGTAAAGGTAGTAGCACGAAATAGTGCATTTTCCCTTTGTAGGGGATCTTACTTGGTAGGAATAGAACACAAAAAAAAACAATAATTGACGTCACAATCGATGTTGATTTAATCAATGATCTCAAAAATATTACAAATAGGTCTGCTATTATTATATTATGCCAATATTTGAATTTGAATTAATTTTTACTAAAAAGGAGAATCAACATGTAGTCGGAGAAAATATTAATATCAAAACCGGCTTCCGCAGGTCCTACCGAGCTATAATCCTTAAGTCGATTGTATCGAATACCAATATGTAATCAAACGTTAAATCAGGGAATCGAGAAATTTACCTTCGAATTCTGGTCAAATGGTCGTCTGAATTCAGAAGGGCGCGTTCTGTAAATCTGTAACAGACAACAACACAAACAAACAAATAAAAGTGTTAATAAATCGCACTGCACATAAAATATTGCGAAATAGCAATACTAACGTCACTAAGTAGGTAAATCGTATACTAAAACTGTAATAATACTCAAAAATAATCAATAATTCGAATGACTTTACACTAGCAAAAGCAAAAGTTTGAACGACTATTAACGACTGTCCTTACAGTCCGGATATAACAGCATAAAAGTGACGTCAGATTCAAGAAAAATACTTTACGATGCGCACATAACTAAATTTCTCTTGCATAGCAATGCAATCTAATCAAGTCAAACATAAACAAGATAATATAAGCCGATTCTTCGTAACGTGACCCAAAATTGTAGATATCGGTTTCAGGCAAAACTTCGGTAACTTCAAAAACAGATATGAATATCGTAGTAACAAAAGTAATCGCAGACAAGGTCTTTATCGATAAGTATATTCTTCGACAACGACACAGGTAGTGTAAGTCAAGCAGATGTATCGGGGAAATTTATAACATCCGTTAACCTTTAAGGTGTCGTATATATATCGTTACAATTCTGGAAGAAATCACGCAGTGTAGCTCAACAAACTCCATGTAATTAGGTCACAGGTACTGGTTGGTAGAATTGAAGTCGAATTTACGCAGCCGGTAATGTAAAAACATCCACTCACTTGCAAAAATGGCGCGTTTAAATAAAACTGCTAAATCATTCAAGTTGAGGAAGTCAAAACCCTAAAAAACATGTCTTAAGAAAAATACTGCGTAATAATATAGCATATCTCGAATTGTTTATCGATGGAGTCACGAAGACATCAAAGAGAAAGACAAACCCACTCCAAAGGATATTATGGTAAAAGCAAAACAATAAATCCCTCTTTAACCAGTAAAAGTAATGGTTACAAAGAGAACTTTTGCATCTAATCAGTTCGAAGGCAGAAACTTTACTGCGTGTAAGGAACGAAGAAAATAGTTTTACATGCTGCTGCTTTGGTAACAATAGACATGCAAATGTGTGGTAATTAAATATTGATTTAATAGTAGTAGGTTCTTGATATAATTTCCAATTAAATGACCCGCAAAAAGCAAGGACGAAATGGAAACGGATTGCTGCAAATCTCGCAAGAAATATGTCTTTAATACGTCGCTCGAGTTGATTATTCAAATGCGACACTTGACCATGAACAAGAAAATCAATTTATACCCCCTCCCTCCCCCCGGTGCCCAATTGATCGTGCCCCCCCCCCCCCCGCCCATTTCAAAAGTTTCATTTGCCACTAAAGGAATGCAATATTTGAGATCAACTGGTTGTTACGTGAAAAAGTTATGCACATGTTACTTTCAAAAATGATATACCCCCCCCCCCCCGCTCCCCCTCCACATAAGAAGACAAGAACATGTGATGGCCGTTTGGCACACTTTCATGGTATAGGCTACTTATTCAAAAAAATGCAGGACTCTATTCCCCTAAACGTAGTTCAAAAACGCAGAAGGGGTCCGGATGGACGGACAACACGGAAACAATAGCACATCTTTTTTAATTCCTAAAAAAATGCGCTAAAAATCGGATTGAAGCATATTTATTTCTCCTTTAAACTACATTTTGTGGACCCTCCGGCCCTATAGGTGTATGTACCTTGTGTGCTATATGGGGCCGTCTCTTAGTGAACATTAAATCAAAAACAAGTTAACGAAATCTTAATTATACAGGGTGGGTTTTTCTTATTTAGTAAACGAATGTCGGAAACTAGCAGATAGAGAGACGGTTAACTGCAGAGAGAATTGCAGTAGTAAGTAAATATTCCTATAAAAATTGTTTTTCTCTTATTATTTACTATAAAAATAATCTAAAAAAGAAGACTTTTTTGTTTTATGGAAATCCTCGTTTTATTTGGGCCATTACTCAAAGTATGGCATACAAAAAATATCAGATGTTTGTTCTTAATTAATTTTTTGTATCTTTGTTATTATCCACTCCAGAAAAGAATTATTAAACAAAAGTTGTAGGAAATGAAGTATTTAATAATACAGAATGAGTGATTTGGTTTGCTATATTTTCTCAGTAATGACACAACGAATGTCACTTTTTCTTTGGAAGATTTTTTCTAAGATTAATAATAATGAAACCAGAGCCGTCGAACGAAATAAGTAAAAAAACATTCTTGTTACCGTTAGCCTTGCATTTTTACCAAAAATCACAAAGAGAATTTACATGAGCTCCTAAACATGCAATTATTTTCCTATTTAACAGTTACTTTATTCTAATTTCGAGATCTTCATACTAAACATTTGACGGAATGAGATAAAAGACAAAAAAAGAAAGATAATGATCTGTCACATTCGTACATTTATCAGAAAAATTTCAAAATCAAATGTTTTACACTCATTTCTTAACGAAACATCTAGAGTTTCTAGAGATTTAAATAAGCACATCATACTTCCTGGAGAAAATGCTTCATATCGACTTTCATGTCTTATTGCCTGTGACTAATCCTTTATCGACTTGACGACGCCCTGATGTCACTCTAGAAAATTCGCTGCAATATGAATCGTTCAATTTCTGTTGCCGGCTTCCGTTCCAGTCATTTTTACTGTCTGCATCTAATGATTTTTTTAATTTCGCTTCACCTGAAATTGTCAATATCTCTGTCTCCTCGCGGGATACGATAGAAGACTTGGCAAGACTGCGCTTTATTTACTGATTTAAATGTAACAAACGTTGGTTGTAATTGACCTTTGAAGGATGCTCTCTACTCATGCTTCACATCTGATTTTACGGTAGCTGAAATAAATTCATGGAAATATACGTTGTTCTTTGTATTAACTAATTCTTCTAAGAAATCCTGCTTTGGGTTTAGGAGGGTGCGATTGATTGTATACTGTAGGGTTACAAAGTTGGTCAACAGATACCATTTTACATTTGTTGTAGTAACGTCATATTTTACCTGTGCTGTTAAAATCAAAATCAAGACATCATCGTATGGTTTATTTTCTAAAGAGGAAGAGAAAAGAGAAGAACTGCGTGTACTTAAGCTTCTTCAAACGGATTCTAACACTTTGAACATAACACCCTAGTAATTAAGCGATCAGTTATAAAAGGAATAGTTTTTATTAACTTTGTGCAAATGACACCATTCTAGTTTCCCTGTAAACTACCTATGCAATTGAGTTCCTCGATCCTGTTACAAATCTACCTATTCCAACTCATTAAAATAAAAACTGCAACCGTAAGGTCGAGGTAGGTCAAAAACCATCCGAAATCTCCGTTATACCTGTGCAACATCGGCAAAGGAGTTTTATTTCAATCTCGGATAATCAAAGAACCGAACAGGTAGCCGTGTGAAATACCACGCGAATTTCGCAAAAAATGAGCAAGGACCTAACCCACGCTCACCAACATAATTTTTATTGATACGTGGGTGAAGTATCTTATTCCTTCCAGTAATTTACTGGTGGATATGGACAATTTTATAAAACAAATACTACACTTTTTCGAACGACATAATCCACATTCCGTTTTTTTATTAACCGCAACATTGTTGTGAAACCGCAAGTCTCGACCGTATTGTAGGGAGCGAAACTTGTTTTTCACCACCTAATAATAACGCCCTTGTCTATCATTTATGACAAGAAGAAATTTTAATGATGACGACCGTTCTATTTCGGTGCACAAATTAATTTTAGTTTTCATTTTCAGATGATGAAGCATGTGCAGCTTTCTCCTTACAGGAGTAGAGCTGACACGGTGTCTTTAAGTTCAACCACGTCCTATGGGAGTCTTAGTCCAGAGCCCTTAGGAAGTAGGTCTTCAAGCTATTCTTCGTTAAGTGAATCTAATCCGCAGGTTAGTACTTACTTGTTTTTATAACTATCTCCATCACTCCAGCGTTCAATAATTGTTTTGGTAGTGGTTGGCGGATGTGAAAATCTACCAATAAAATTTATTTCTTTGCGAACAAAAATGCAACCAAACAACGCATTATAACTTGTAAAGACCGAAGATCGCACCAGAACAATTATTGAACGTCCGTTACTACACGTGTGGTGTGGTCCTAAAAGGTTGTGACCCCAAAAAACAGGCACTAATGACAAGTGACAAGTTGCGAATTCAAAACAAGAAAACCTATTGCTTATAATTATAATGTAAGAAATATAGCGCTCAAATTAAATTGTAGCGTTGAGTGAAAGAATCGCTTTCACTCAACGATTGTAGGTACTGTGTTTTCGAAGATCCATATCAAGGTCGTCAGGTGCGCAAAATCATCTTCAGTACAATTTCGTCCATTTTCAGTAGCGTCTCGTCTCGTGCGAAATGTGGTTTTTCGTGTTACTCGGATATAATTTTAAAGAATCATAAGGCCGAAGTTCGACCTTACAAGGCAGCCTATTTCCACGGGAAATGGTTTTAAAATATTCCCACGCATTGTAATCTTGCGTCTTTCCCATCAAGGTATAGTTGGTTAATTTGCGGCGGCCACCTACTTGTTCTTGGACGTCAAACGGGTCTTTCTTATTTATTATAGTTTTTATGTTTTACAACCAAAATAATCCTATTGTATTTGTGAGTCATTTCGATGTACTTAACTTTATTTTATTGTTCTTTCGAATTGGGACTATGTCCTTAGTATTCTCACGTTGCCTTGTCCATGAAACAAACGTGATTAGTTCATTTTTAATAATCTTCCTATTCTTAACTAATTCCTCACTGTATTTTTTTAGGACTTTCATTTCGCATAAAATGTTCAGCGAATACTGGATATAGCGATAGTAACAAAAGTATTGTAGCGAATATTCCAGAAATACCGGTTGACATCGAGGCACCATGAAAGATTAGCCATCAGTACCTATGTTCAAAATGTTCGTTTGCAATTGCTCGCCTGAAGTAGATTCTTCCGAGAGAACTACTGAATACTATCAGAGAACCATGACAAATGTCAGGCCGAAATATTGCGTAGTTCAATCGCTATGTAAGTACGAGCGAATTAAAGGTATTTGGTTTACAGAGCAAAGCAACCCACTTATTTTCCAGAAATATCGGAAATGGAGTGCAATGTTGAAAAAATAGCAAAGTGCATATGGGTTGTTATTCTCTGTTGTTGTTCTTCAATATTCTTTTTAGTATGTTTAGACATAACCCAGCCTCTTACGTCCCACTTTATGTGACATCACGTACTCACTGCAAACTGCGTGAAACATTACAGTGGCGAGTGTGCAAATTTCAAAATTTTATCGGGCATTGCTCCCAATATGGAAGAGGCGTTAAGTTGTCACTCGTAAAATGTGCCGACGGCCTCCATATAATGACCGTAATTGGACGTCCCAACAGTAGCCATATTTGATGACTTTGGGTTAAGAGTTTAATATTGCAAAATTTGTTGTACACTATTTGACTTATTTTCAACATTATTCTGCCCTTTTGTTTTTTATTAAGTTGTCTAGACTCTAGAAAATGTATCCATTATTTTAATCATTTCAAAATGTAACCGATAGTATTGGTGACCCAATGGGACTTTCAACGTAATAAAATGTTAATCATAGTAAAATTCATTACTGTCTGAATTCCTCAAAAAACAATGAGCTGGTTTGGAATCTACTCTGATATTCTAAAAAAATGAATTTAGAAAAATCCGAAAAATTTGACTTTCAAAATCTGAAATGTTTCTTTCTGTGAACCGGTGATTAGAACCTTGTTGTTAACCTTATCGATATTTTCTAATAATCTCTGGTATTTTTTTGTTATTCTCCAGTAGGTACTGTTGCAAATAGTTTGTCTCTCGGTTTGTCTGCAGATCTAAAATGTGCTAAAATTATTTTTTTTTACAAGGTAAGGAAGGAATTGAATTTTTTGATATTTTTCAAACTCTACCTTTTTTGGTTGCTTTTTAGAGAAATTTTCGAAAAAATCCATTATGTAATGGTTTTGTCACTCTGTTACTCGTGTAAATTGAAACCGAAAAGAAACGGCGATTCCAAGCCTTTGCCAATCGATTTTTAGGAATTCAAGGAATATTGAATATGAGCCGGATTAAAAGTCGGGTTTGAGGAAAATGCACTAGTCGAAAGGTAACCAATGTTCATTGATTTTTCGAACATTAAAAAGGAAATAAAACGCATTCCTGTAAATTGATGCCACTCTGGAGCTCATTGAAGGCGATTTTGGTATTTTTATGAACTTCCAATTAGATTATGTTTTGTTTTCTGTTGATAGGATAGATCCCTTCTTCATTGATTGAATCTAAATCGTTATATGAGTAAATCCAAAGATCACAAAATGGACGCCAAATAAGCTAACTAAATCGTTATAATTAATACTTCCCAGTAAAATTGGTTAAGATGAGATTGTTGAAATACACCTTGGTGCAGTTTTTATGATGTGAGTGTATTAATATTATTTTTGTTTTTAAAAATAAAACAAATTTTAAACAATAAAATGAGCGGTTTTCAATCAATCGCTATTGTGCGGACTCCAGTATTAGGTTAATTGGCAAACGTGGTATTAAATATACAATTATATTATCACGCACGTTTATTAATAATTATCTCAGGTTACTAGATATTTAGTTATCCGAGATTGAGATATTGGTTTCTAAATTAAACATACCTTGTATTTACGGTATCAGCCTTGTACAGAGTGTTACAAAAGCAGGTATCAAACTTAAGAAATCCTTTTATATGCAAATTGAACACGAATGCAAGTTTTGATTATGTGATTTGGCAGCTCTTTTAGATCGGTGTGTTAATATAAAATATACGGCCATTTTTACCGTTTCCGGTTTATCTTAATTTCGAATTCAAATAGCCATCGTGTTATAAGAATATAAATTGAAATGATGCACGTTCTTTTATACCGAGGGCCCCAAATATGGTATAGCGAAACGTTTCAAAATCATACGTTAGTATTTGTGTGGAACAGAGACCTTTGACTCGCCAATATTTATTACCAATATAAATCTAGCTTCGTATGCATTACTGTATCGTAGATTCGCGCGGAATACAATTGACAAGACACGAAAGCTTCCTTTGCGTGCGAATAATTTTTTTGGTAATAAATTAGGACTGGATCTGTATATGGAAATAATTTGTAGAATCATCTCCGCACCGTAGGTACTAAAATTACACGTAACGAGAATGTGTAGGAATTCGTCCTGAAATATGATACTACCTTTGAACTTACTCACCTCTTTGTTTTAGGATAGGTACCTACGTGTGAGTTGTTCTTGTATAACGACTACATCCTTTAATACGTTTTTATGACTTTATGATTTAATTTCTCCTGCGGATAATAAAGGGTTTTCGCGCTTATTACGAAAGGAGAAAGTTAGCACCTCCGGTTTAGCTAATTTGACTTCGCGCAAAAAGCAGCCGCTCTTCTTTTGCGCAAATATTTTCCCATATATTAGAGAGAGGTAGACAAAGAACTCGCATACCAAGTGTGGGATGCTCACAGATACGTACTAAAAAGAAGAAAGATTCGGTTCCCAGCGGATATTCTCATGGTGTCGCATGGCATCTGGTCATAGGCGTCGGCGTTCTCGTGCTCTTCCCGTCATTACCGTTAAATAATGGAATTACAAAAACTGATCGGATTAATGCATTTCTAATTACCTATAAATGCTAAACTGGCGGAAATTGAATCACATCTTAATTTGATTGAATGCGATTTTTTAACATCGCCGTCCATTATGTATTTGTTAGCAGAGTAACTGTACTAATTACGAGTTCTAAACTTTACACATTTAAGTGATAAATTGATCTATTCCCGACAATTTGCTTTGCGTCCAAGAACGGCAAATTCAATAAACGTAGTGACATCACACAGTTTCTTTCCCATTATGTATTCGAGTATAGAACTTGTCATATACTTAACTTTGTGGTTAACGCAATTAAAGAAATTAATCTCGACGCAATTATTTTAATTATGGTGGAAATTTCAAATTAGCGACCTTAATAGCCAAAGACTTTAATTGGGAATTAAATTCGAGTTCGTGTTTTCCAAATGATTTATCTCTAACATAATAAACTTAAATTGCAACCAATTGACACTTTGGCAGTGAGGAAACCGAGGAGGAAACTCCAAAGTGAAGATGGGTATTGGTCCATACGCCTCAAACAAAATTTAGCGATCCGTGTAACGTGTCCAGGTACGTTATTAATTATACTCTTAAATGAATACAGAATTAGATATCAATTTGACAGCGTTATGTGCGCCCTTATACTCGTACAAAATATTTTTTTTCGCTGCGATTAATGACTTTTTGGCCATTCAAAATGAGGCGTGGGTTTTGCGTTTCAATAAAACATTTCAAGCATCTAATTAGTTCGAACAACTTCAGTTACCAATTTTGTTGTGGAACCGCAAAACACATTGCCTTAATGCAAAGCAACTAGAGTTTGTAGTCTTCCTGTCATATTTCATTTTTGGTTTTTTTGGTAAACTTGATGCACAAGAACAAGATTTTCGGTCTTCCTGTCATACTCATTTTGGTTAAGTTCGTATAGCAAAATTTTCAATTACTTCACAAATTTAATCGGGGAAACCGCAAAACACATTGACTTGATGCACAGGAAATATATTTTGTGATCTTTCTGTACTCTCAGTTTGGTTAAGTAATGTCCAATTTCGTCAGAGAATCTGTTTTGGGTAAGTTAGTACCTAGAGCTAAATCGTCATTTGTTCAATAATGTCGCGGAAACTGCAAAATGCATTGTCTTGGTGTTCTTTCTGAATTTAAATATAAGATTACGTAACTGATAGCCGCAACTCACAAAAGAAATGACTGCTACACCCCAATTCGTCCCGCGTTTGCAGTTGCAGTTAAACCCCAAAACTAATATCTTTTCTAG